TTGCCACATTTTTTACAATAAACATCCAAATCTTCAGGTAGTGGCCTCACAAAAGATAAAATAATATTCTTGGGCCATGATACTACAAAGGAAGTGCCTTCAGCCATCTCACTACTTTAAGTTCTCTGGTTCTCTTGGCAAGTTCGAGGGTCAGTAGAGTGTATTTGGTAGATTTGTGTGGCATTTTCTAATCTAATTACACACATACACAGAGTATGTACACATATTAACCAAATGTACTAAAGTATTGCACCCAGCCTACTTAAACTGGCAATCTATCGGTTGGAATGGGCAATCAGTATCAAGATGATGCTGAAGTTTCTTTTGCTGAATAGTGAAGCCCTTGTGATCTTTATTCGTACAAGGGACAGGAAACACCACAAGTTTTATGATGGGACTCCACTTGCTCAAAAGTGCCTTTAAAAATGCTACAATAAGTGCATGTAGCTGGTCGGTGTTTGCAGTTTTCTTCATGCTCTTTTAGCAACCTCCACTCCACATAACACGAGAAACAAGAATCATGCTTGCATCTAATTTCAGTGTAGCTGCATCCTTCATATCGTCTATATAGCTCCTTCTTCTCACGGTAGTTAAGATGAGCAGATAAATCTTCCAGTTTGCCAGACCACTCACACTGTTTCGCATGGTATATGCAGTAAACTTCTAAGACCTTCACTCTTCTTTGATGAGCACGATCAGAGAAAGTAAAACATTGCTTGGAGTAACACGAAGGACATGTAATACATGCCCTTTTATGACAATCTTCACACACATGCACTTCACAGCAAGAGGTTTGGTAAGGATTTTGCATAAAGAGTCGACATTTCATACAATAAATACCAATACCCAAATCCTCAGGTAACGGTTTCATAAAAGATAACTTAATATCCTTTCGCCATGATACTAAAAATTCAGCCATCGCAAATAGTTTCAGCAAATTTTCCTTCCCTTTAGATACAGCCTACACTATTATGATTCTGTCAGTTTATATAACTTTGTAGGCTGCAACTTATGAATTAATATAATATTTCAAAAGCTCAAAAACTAATAATTAGGCTATATTTGGTATAACAACACATAATTACATCCATAGGATTTCCTTGTTTATTGTAAGTTAATGCACAAATACATTACAAAAGCATAAGTACATTAGTAACTTAACACAGCATGTATACATACATGCAATGATGCAAAGATGGACCTGTACAACTTATCTTAGAAATGGAACAACCTACTACCTTTACTATTCTATTTTTATAGAAACATCTTGAATATCATGTGTGTTTCTGATGTCACACCAATCATTTAAAAATAATCATCTCACTAATTTTGCATTATGTTCAAACCACTATACATAAACCCCATTGCTAAAGTCAACTTTGCAGCTCTGGTTCCTTTGATAGGATAGGCATATCACTATTATACAAATGCAGTGGAATAAATGCAACAGTTGGCTATCTTTCTCATTTTTCCTAAAACAACAGCCACTAAATAATAATAACTAAAACACTATACAAAACTAAGGTTTTAATGAAAAAAAAACTGTAAAAAGTACACTCTCTTCAAAATCAATACACTCTGATGATATATACATAATCCCTATCCCCTTTATATCTTTCAGGAATAGTAGCAAGTATCCTTTGTGACTCATCATCTTTACAGGCCTCCTTCACCAGATCACTTCCACAAAGTGTAAGACGTTCTCCCCTGTAGCTCTTGATGACAATTTCTCTAACTTCGGGCATTAGTTTATGATTGCCTTTAAATACTTTAAACTCAATATTATAAGTTTTTAGTGTAGCACTTCTGTAGGCTTTGCCAAACCTCACTGACATTTTGTACTTATAATTATTAGAGAAGAAAGAAACTGACTGACCATCTGCTTTTACATAGACAGGTCTGCTTTCCTCACCAGTAACTGGAAGGTCACCATGTACAGAATGATCAAGCCTCTTCACACTAGTTTCAGTAAGAGTATCCAGTTTTTGGTTGGTGATAGTCAATTGCTCCCTTAATTCTTCGTTATCCTTTTCCAATTGCTGTATTTTATCTTCGCTTTCCTTTTTCAATTGTGAGCAAGCCCCAGCTAGCAGTAAAAAGTGGTCCTGTTGGCTGGCAGCATTGTGCTGGTCCTCATCTTTACGCTTTGGCCTATCATTGCACCCAGCCCACTTAAACTGGCAATCTATTGGTTGGAATGGGCAGTCAGTGTCAAGATGATGCTGAATATTCTTTCGCTGAATAATGAAGCCCTTGTGATCTTTATTTGTACAAGGCACAAGAAACATATCGCAAATTTTGTGATGGTACTCCACTTGCTCAAAAGTGCCTTTAAAAATGCTACAATAAGTGCATGTAGCTGGTCGGTGTTTGCAGTTTTCTTCATGGTCCTGTAGCAACCTCCGCTCCACATAACACGAGAAACAAGAATCATGCTTGCATCTAATTTCAGTGTAGCTGCATCCTTCATATCGTCTATATAGCTCCTTCTTCTCACGGTAGTTAAGATGAGCAGATAAATCTTCCAGCCTGCCAGTCCACTCACATTGTTTCGCATGGTATATGCAGTAAACTTCTAAGACCTTCACTCTTCTTTGATGAGCACGATCAGAGAAAGTAAAACATTGCTTGGAGTAACA